TTGGCATGGCATTATTGATAAATCTTTTAATAGCTTCGCGTTTGTGCAGATATTTACTAGAAATACGGTCACCTCCTCTTTTTTCTGTTAAAAGTTGTCCGGTCTCAAAGTATGTCTTCATAATACTTTGCACTCTATATTTTGTGATTTGTAAAACTGTCAAAAAGAATTTTTGGCATACTTGTACTTTCTTCTTTGCAGATTTACAGTAAATGTAATATTTGGTTTGAAATTTTTGCGTCGAATATTTTGAATTAGCAGAACGGCGATGACGCATTACTTTTTTTGGTTGGCAATGCTTTAATATAAAAGCATCCTGCTTCAATTTATTAGGTTCTGCATAAAAATTGTCAAAAAATTGCTTAACGTCGGTCATTGCTATAGACATGCAATTAAAAGTCTTTTTGTGACGACACAGCAATCTCTTTGGGAGAGTTACAGCAGAATACCTAAAACAAATATAAAAGTAAGTAACTGCCTAAATATCACAAAAAAAAACATACCTATAAACTTGTCTATGGTGTGATGTGCAACGAAAACACGATAGTGAACACGACCATGACCGAATTTATAAAAAACCTAAATGATCAAAATTGTCTGAACGTACTGTAACTCCAACCATCGGTTTAGTAAATTAACAGTATTATTTAGATAAAATAAATAAAACGAGATTATTTAGCTAGAAAAAATAATTGAAATGATCAAGATTATCTAACTGTACTACAACTTACCGCTTTAGCTTCGCCTGGTACCTCTTCCATTTTTCGGGTTCTGCCTTTCTCTTTCGACTGTTTTTATTATCACAGGGGCTAGGAAAACATTCCATTTTCAAGTTTTATAACGTTTTTGTCAATAATAACAGTATTTACGCTTTAATTTCACTGATTTACGAGAGCAAAATACACAGAACCACCATTGCACCGTTGGTTCGAATAGTGGCACCTGATTGGTCAAAGAAGGATGTTGCTGTCTATGCCGCAACTACGTGGGTATGTTGCTGGTTTTGCTACTAATCTCGATTTAGAACCTCTATTTTGTATAGGATGATGATGGTTTTGAAACGATTTTAATATTCGGTCAAGTAAAGTTGACGGAATACTACCATACTGCATTAAAAGTTGCCAAAATGAAAAAATGGGATGTTGCTGCCTTTGCTTTTATATGACTCATATGTGAAATATGTACACAAGCAAAGCAAACAATATTACCATTCAGTACAGTAAGAACCAGAGCTTATAGACCTTTACAGTTATTACATACAGATGTATGTGGTCCATTTGAAAATAAAACATATGATGGTTACAACTACGTCTTAACCATTATGGATGACTATACCCATTTAACAAAAATATATCTATTAAAACACAAAAGTGAAGTAAAAGAAAATATAATAAATTATATAAAAGAGATGGAAAGAGAAAGAAAAGAAAAGGTATCAGTAATCAGATGTGATAATGGTGGTGAATATACCAGTAATAATTTTAAAGAATGGTGTAAGAAAAAGGGAATAAAATTAGACTTGACAGTACCATACACACCGCAGTTGAACGGCAAAGCTGAAAGGCTAAACAGAACATTGCTTGATAAAACAAGAGCATTATTGTTTGATTCAGACTTAAATAAGGAAATGTGGGGTGAAGCCATGTACTGTGCTACATATTTAATAAATAGGTTACCTACTAAAACATTAAACAACAAAACTCCATTTGAAATGTGGTATAACAAAAGACCTAACTTAGCCAATATACAAAAATTTGGTTCAAGTGTATATGCAAAGCAACTCGGTACAAATACAAAGAAATTAGATCCAAGAAGCAAGAAATTGTTAATGGTTGGATTTGCTAATAATGGTTATAGACTATGGAATGAAAGAGAGAGAAGAATAGAAATAGCAAGAGATGTTGTATTTTGTGAAAATAATGAAGCAATACCAGATAATTTAAAAATGAACAAGCAACAGACATTAGAAAAGGATCAAATGATTTCAGAAAATAATGAAGAAGTAGATAAAAATTAACAAGCTGATAGTGAGAATTACACAGATGTACCAGAAATAGAAACAGAAATGATTGAATTACAAATAGAAGAAGAACATAATGATATAACTGATAATGAAACTGAAGAAGAAAATAAACATACTAGAGATAAACGAGAAAAGAAAAAACCTACTTACCTGCATGATTATGTATTACTTACCTTTGATGAAGCGATGAAGTCAACTGAAAGGAAAAATTGGGAGAAGGCTATATGTTCAGAGAAAGAGTCATTGAAAAATAATAATACATGGGAAATAGTAGATATTGAAAAGGCAAAAGGAAATAAAATATTAAAAAATAAGTGGATATTTAATGTTAAAGAGAATGGAATTTATAAAGCAAGACTCGTAGTAAGAGGGTTTGAACAAAATAATATAGATTTTCAAGAGATATACAGTCCAGTGGTTAGTCAGTCAGCATTAAAATCAATATTTGCAATAGCATCTTCTAAGGAATATGAAATGCTAACATTTGATGTCAAAACAGCGTTTTTATATGGCGAGTTGAAAGAAGATATTTTTATGATTATACCAGAAGGATATGAAAATCAACCAAACAAAGTCTGTCATTTAAAGAAAGCACTCTATGGATTGAAGCAAGCTCCAATCACATGGAATAAGAAATTCACTGAGACAATGTTAAAACTAGGATTGAAACCTACAAAAACTGACCAGTGTGTGTTTACAACTGAAGATAAAAGTATAATAATCGCAATTTATGTTGACGATGGATTGGCAATAAGTAAAGATAAAAGAAAACTACTGAATCTGTGAAATATACTGCATCACCTGGAGAAGGAATTTAATATTAAAATATATGAAAAGCCAACAAATTATATTGGATTTGAAGTTTCTAAAACAAAAGAAGGAATATTGCTACACCAGAAAAATTACACAGAAAGACTACTAAAGAAGTATAATATGTTTGAATCTAAACCAGCAAGTACACCATGTAATAATGATAATAAAAAGACAATAACAAGTATAGATACATTAAAGTTTCCATATAGAGAGTTAGTGGGGGGTTTGTTATATATATCTACACGATCAAGACCGGATATAAGCCAAGCTGTGAACGAAGCCAGCAAGAAGATAGAAAACCCATCAAAAGAAGATATAACAGCTGTGAAGAAAATACTGAAATATTTAAATGGAACAAAAGGTAAAGGAATAAAGTACAGAACAGGAGGAGATTTAACACAACTGGATGCATACTGTGACTCAGACTATGCAAATTGTATTGAGACCAGACGAAGTACTACAGGATTTGTTATTATGTATGGAGGTGGACCTATATCATGGTGCTCGAAGAGACAGCCGATAGTTTCTCTTTCATCGACAGAGGCTGAGTATATTGCAGCTTCAGATTGTTGTAAGGAATGTTTACATTTAAAATCCTTTATAAGTGAATTAACAGGAATTAGTGTTAATATAATATTAAATATTGATAACCAGAGTTCAATTCAATTAATTAAAACAGGTTCTTATAGCAAAAGATCAAAGCATATAGATGTTAGATACTATTTTATTCATGAAAATTATAAGAAAGGTAATATTGATATAAAGTATTGTCCAAGTAATATTCAAACTGCAGATATGTTTACAAAGCCGTTATCTAAAGAGAAATTTGATTTTCATTGTAAAAATGTTGTAAAGTATGAGGATGAAAACTAAAGTTGTGAAAGTTTAATGTTATTCAATTATTAGAATTAAATTATATTATTGTATTAAATAAAACCAAAAGGATAATTGTCAGAAGTAAGAAATTCAAAATGAATGTATCTTTGATTTATATAGTAAATTAGTATTTTTCAAATTTAACTAAATTTAAAAATCGGAGAAGGTGTTGAGTTGTAAAGTAATCTGTGACATTTGTGATCTATGTCTTGGTAGTCTGTGGTTTGAAAGAGATGCTAAAAATAGAAATAGGAGAAGGATGTAATAAATAAAACCAGTGTTAAATAAAACAGTATATTATATTAACCAGTTACAATATAATAAAAAGGCGTTTGAGTTACCCTGGTGTGCCCCGTAGCGACCTGAAATTCTACAGAAACAAGTCAGTTAAACTCAGTTTTTGTGTTTTGACAAGGAAACCTTATAGTTTCTGGGTCTGTCCGTCCCAGAAGCGAAGAATGGATTAGGTACTCTATTAAAAATATTTGAAATGTTAATTAATAGACCATAGAAGCTAAGTTGCTACAACCCACGCTGCCACCTGCCACTAAGTAAAATTCAACTATTCTGAAAATAAACATAGGTAAAGCTAACATTCGAATAAATATACTTAGGCTTTCGTTGCGAATAAAACTAATACCAAGCTGAATGGATTTAGTGTTCTTTGCCTTCTCGGTGAAATTCTTTAGGAATGATGTTATGGTTTCGTCGTGTATGGGTGCGGCCAGAGTGCACTCAGATTCAGATTTCGAAAACAAGCGCGAGAAATAAACAGTGTAGTCGAAGGGTACGGCCAGAGTGCACTCCTGATTCAGACTCAGAAAACAAAGCGCGAGAAAAAGCAGGCAATCTGCTTAGACTACACTGTTTATTTCTCGCGCTTGTTTTCAGAATCTGAATCTGAGTGCACTCTGGCCGCACCCTATGTCTTTATAAGGCACTTGGTGTGCTGATTTTGCATGTTATGGGTTATTTTTACCTTTCTAAAATTAGTTCCGATTTCGGCCACGCGCCATAAGACTGTGAACTGTACAATACTTCCGAATGCTTCTGATAAAACCATTATGCATATTACTGATGTCAAAATTGGCATTGGTATCTATTACGGCCTGATTCTCTAAACTTAAAACTAAATTTAACATCAGTCTCTTCTTTTCACTCTGTATAGAGAATGACAAGGATACACTATTGTAAAATTTAAGTTTAGGTTTAGACAATCATGCCAGGATCGACACCATTGGTTACATCTGGAGCATAGTCACGGTAATAATATTACCGTGGCATAGTTCCTGAATGTGGCCCTGGGCTGCGTTCCAAGCCGTCACACTGACTGCAACTTTTTACTCAGACGTTTCAATTGTGACATAAAATGTTGTCAAAATTGACATTTGTTGCACCTTAGCACCTGAAGAGGCCCGGTTTGGAATGAATGACTGATTGATTGCTTGGTAGTGGTAGTAGTAAACAAAATATTTATCGCATTATTACGCATATTATATTCAAAATAAATTTACAGTAGTTGCATCAACAAATGTAGTTTTTTAACAATGATGTCTGCAGCTCTTATGTGATTATATAGTTTTCGTAAATATTACAATTTTGTCAAATAACTTATTTTCGTATGTACGTTTTCTGTGTATGTTTAATTAGTTTTAGAATAAAATGAATAGCTTAAATATGCCGGAAGATTGTGCACAACAGTGGGAGATAATACTGTTACTCTTATCAGCTGAAGAGAAAAAAATAGACAGAACTGATGATACTGAGATAGATACTATGAGCTATTTCTACAGTAATGAAGGTGTGAGGTAAGGAAACCAATACATAGTATATAATAAATACACATTACCTACCCTTGCATATTTAAGTGCATATATTTTAATATGAATGTTAGTGATTAGTGAACATAGCCCACCTTATTACAAAACATTGTCTAAAGTCAAACCCGATGTAAAATGTGTGCTGTCACTTTTGATTGATATGTAAAAAGAAGACAGAGACAACATTATATCTAAACCAAGACTAACTTCTGTTTTGGAATAAGGTCCAATTTCCATATAATCTAAACCTCTGCTTCAAAGCTGTTGGAGAAAATATCCTGGTATTAAGTGTGACTGAACCCCTTGGCGAAGACAGCTGAACCAGCATACAAATGTGCCACTATAGCAACCTCCCGCAAAAGCAAAAAAAATATGGTAATCAAGTTGATTTCTGAAATTAATGATTATGAGAAATAGGCATTTAAAATTTTAACTTTAAAAGCCATTTTCACAAATCATGTCAAAGCTCTTACTGTACTCTTGTAGAATCCATTGGAAACTTGCTAAATTCCGTAATACCATAGCTGTATTGGTTACATAAACAAATTTAGATTACACACTAAAAGCACGAGTAAATCACACAAAAGAAATGGTATGGTTCGCTTTGCTTAACAATGCAATAATTAAATAATGTAACCAGTTTTCAATTTACATAATTTTAAATTCCACTACTATTTCATTTTGAAAAAAATTATATATTTATTAGACTTGCAACAAATATTCGGTTACTATTTGGTATTCGGCCTATTCGGCTGCTTTTATTATATTCAGCCGAATACCGAATATCTACATATTATTCGGCCGAATACCGAATACTTAATTAATATATTTTGTCATAGATAAATAATTGGTAAAATGAAAAATTAAAATCGATTGATTACATATATATTAATATTTTCATTTCTGTTATATAATCATTTCAGTAGTCATTGGTACATAACACAGGTACATAATCATCTTCTGAATTGGAAAAATGAAGGATTCTATGTACCTATTTGAATTATTGTGGTAATCAAAATTTAGAAGGGTAAGGTTCTCATTTCTTTTATAATCATTTATTAAGTAGTCATTGGTATGTACCAATGATGAAACCAAGAATGAATGTAAAACAGGTACATAATTTAATTATTTTCTGTATTAAACAAGTTAACAGTTTTTAATTCATTCAGTCATGTGGTGAATGGTTACATAATAGCAATAATTTAAAGCTTACGCGCCGTTTTTGGCCATATCTCAAAAGTTGGATTTGTCATTTAGCCGCATTTTAGCTTGAGAATGGCAGATTAGAACAAAACAAAGGAGCGCGAAACAATCACGCCTGTACAAGTTTTTGGCGCTAAAATCCAGCCGAATACTTTTGCCTAATATTCGGCTATTCGGTCAGGGGCCTCGCCGAATATTCGGTATTCGATATACTGCCGAATATACTATTTGTTGCAAGTCTAATATTTATATTTAATAAATCAAACGGTTCAATATTTAATGATGTTGTACCCAAAAAGAGCTGGAAATATTTAAGTACTATTTCTTGCCTAATACCACTTAATTAGTATCTATTATAAAATTGTAATTGTTTGTTTTGCTTAAATATTTTTTCAGAAAAATACTCTTGCATTGGCTACAACAAATGCAAAAAAAATATGCCAGAAAAGTTAGTGAAACTGATACAGCAAGGAAATGTGATGAAGTGTCACTTTTTTGGCGTCAGAAAGGGAATGACAAATTTCGTGCCAACCGTGTCGAGGAAAGCTATAGGTGTTATTGTAAAAGTGTTTTGTATGCAAGCCAGGAAGGAGCTATGTATCCACTTGCATTAGCTAATCGTTCTGCTGCATTACTAAGAGCAAAGAGGTTCCAGGTAAATATCCTAACTTCCTAATCCTAACTAATTTGTAAATGCAAAAGTAAATTTAATTGTTTGTTTGTTACTTAATCATGCAAAAGCTACTGAACAGATTTGGAATAAATTTGGTATGCATGTAGTTTATATCCTGAATTGAGACTAAGGATACTTTTTATCATAGAAAAATATAAGGTTCCTGTGGAATTCTCAAAAAAAAACAAAGTTGAAGCAGACAAAGTTGTGGATGGCCACTAGCCTTATGTAATATTTTATATTGTATAACAATAAAGCGGTCTTATGAGGTTGTTTTCAACTACACAAGTATTGTAGAAGAGAATCGACAACCTTATTGAAACTTGATTTTATTTGTATTTGAATGCATTACTTTATTGTGGAATAAAAGATTGAAATTGGCACCTTTAATGCAGGAATGTCTATCTGACATAAAGTTGGCTCTAGAGAGCGGTTATCCTAGAGAGCAGAGTCACAAATTGTTGCTCCGAAGGGCAGACTGCCTTATTGAATTGGGGAATCAAGAGGAGGCTAGTGCTGCCCTTGTTGCAGCCTCCGAACACGCATGCAGCTTACAGCTAGCACCTTCACATGCAGGTATGAATTCACAACAGTAAAACGACTATTGCAGTTGTCTTAATTAAAATAAATCATTCTTGTAACCACACTAAACAGTTCGCTTAATTTCATTAAAATGAATCATCATTCACACAAAATAATGCCCATAAGCTAATAATTTGAATCAGTTCACATTGAACCTCAATTTAATAAGTATAAATTTCTTTGAATAATTGACAAATAAGGAATGCCTTGACTCTGTAATATTTTCATGTAATTTTCCTACTACATTACATGGATATTTTTCTCTAGCTGAATTTGACCGTCACATCAAGATTTTGGAGAAGAAACTAGAGGCCTTAGGTACCATAGAAAAAGAGGCTGATGTGACACTGCCTACATGCTACAAAGGAGAAAATGTTAATTTTAATGCAGCATCTAATGCTCTTGAACTCAGGTAATAAATTTTACAATTTCTACTAATATTTTTAATGTGGAAGTCTGTTTTTTTGTTACTCAATCACGCAAAATTTGGAGTAACTGATTTGGATGACATTTGACACACTTGTAGTTTATTAACAGAATTGAGGAATGGGCTACTTTTTATCCGTAAAACGGAAGTACCGGTGGGATTATCAAAAAACTAAAATTAATGCGAACGAAGAACTTATCATTAAACTTTTTCTCAAATGATATGATACATTGAATAGTTATTCATAGATGTTTTCATTACAAAATTATCTATTTCTAAAAAAGATTTTGCCGATTATTAGATTTTTTTCTTCTTCGTCTTTTTGTAAATTGGCAGTGACCCTTAGTGGATTTCGCTAGACTTGAGTGTTTCGGCTTGTTTGCTCGCGTGACTTCGAAAATTTACTCTTTCTTTATATGTTGTGATACACAGAAAGAAGTTATAAGGGCCTTGTGGGTGGGGCAGGCGCACCACAGTTATGTATGAGCAAATGCTATAACTTGACCAAAACTTGGTTCTGATTGCGTCGTTGCTTTTGGGTGTGAGCGCTGATTGGTGCGGTTTTATGTCGCGTCGTTTGATTGACTATTATATATTAGGTGGAAGTGGGGGCGAGCCGACGACGTCGGTTCCCGTACAAACGGTCTAAGAGCACCCTTCTAACCTCTATCTGTGTCCTGAAACCGCAATAAGTATCTGTACATATAATAAAAATGATGATGAGAATGAATATTCTTTTAAAAGAATACTTGAGAGTGTGATCTACAATCGATACCGAAGCGAAAAATATGGTTTTTAGAATTTTTGTCTGTATGTATGTCCGGGATAAACTCAAAAAGGAATTGCATGGATTTACTTCAAATTTAGGATGAATATTATTAAGAAGTCTGGTCAACATATAGGCTACATATTATCACGAAACTCCACCCCTAAGTGGGTAATACGGGGGTTGGAAGCGTGTATGAAAGTCATATGATCAAGTAAGAGACTAGAAATTTAACATGTATGCTCTATAGATGGTGTAGATGTGTACTAATAATGTATCTTTAGAAATAAACCCCCTTTTGGGGTCAAAAAGTATGTGCAGATAACTAAACCCACGCGCACAAAGTCGCGGGCGGCCGCTAGTATTAAATAACATTATATTTCTTCAATAGGCGCAGTGAATCGTGCGGTCGATACGTAGTGGCTCGGGAGGCGACGCGCCGCGGGGACGTTTTGTTTTCGGAAGAGCCTTACGCGTGGGTGACTCTGCCCAGGGACGACCTCCAGCGTCACGCCTGTGAAACGTGCTGTCAATCAGAAATAAACCCTGTGCCGTAAGTATCTTACACCATTATCGTCTGTGTCATAGATTTATTTTAGTAGTAACCTTATTAATAATTGATGGCCTAGCAGGGGCGTATTTTCCCTAGGGCGTTGACCCGGGGCAGTGGAAGCCATACAAAGACATTCGTTACTGAAAATCAAGTCGTAATTGGCCGGGGCGCCATATCTCAAAATACGCCCCTGCTGGCATGTGTTATAAATATGATTGCTTTACATTTAAATTCCTTTATTTAAACTCGGACACGGAGGTCGTCAATAGTAAATGGCGTTTTCAACACGTTTGCTCAAAAATATAATTTACGGAGGTTGTATACATTGTTCGAAAGTTCAAAATTACGGGCCATACGACGGAGCGTGCGCTTCCATACTTTGCGCCGTGCGTATCCTTTACGGTTTTTTTTTAAAATTTCATTCGAACCTCCTTGGAAGCGCTTATAATCTACACCTTTCTCTTTTTTTTATGCATAATAGGCAATGCGTTTGACTACAATCTCGCCTGATGGAAAGCGATCTGGCCTTGAAGATGTCCAGATTATATTGGTCCGGGAAGAAGTCTCAATATAATATAAAAAATAAAAGGAGACGAAAGATGTTCTTATTTTCACCGCTCGCACATAACGCCATTGGATGCGCTATTTCCTTATTAAGCAAAATTTGCTTCATTACTTAAATTAGGTATACTGTTATTTTTTTTTTATTTACTTTTTGGAAGACCAACAGCTATTAATAAAAATAATAAAAACTTAAATAACAACGGAAAGCCAATTACAGGTCTTCACCAATAAAAACACACTACACCATAATTAAGCACACTTAATAATTACAAACAAAAAAAGCATTGTACAATTGCCTATTTGTCGAAAAATGCACTGCTCAATACCCGCCTCAGTGATGGAACGCTAGTGTAAAACAAATCTATGCCAGTTTTCTCAGATAAAATATTAAAACTATTATCTGCACGCAAGAGATACGAATTCTGTCTATAGTTTGAGGTTGCATTTGGAACGCATATGAGGGAATTAAATCTAAGTATTTTTTTTGTAGCCCTAAGGGAAATTCTAGACAGTAGTGCTGGGCAGTCGATAGCACCAGAAGCTGTTTTAATAAAAATATTAAATCTGCAATTTGGCGGCGTTTTTGCATCATAAAAAAAGTGGTAGCAAGTGATGTTTCTTACAAAAATACAAATATTGGTTTGAATGATAGCGCTCTTTAGTGCGAAAACAGAGATATTTGATGAATTTTCTCTGAATGTTTTCGTTATGTAATTAAAATACAGAAGGTTCCAGACCTGGGACGCATACTGCAGATGACTTCGAACAAATGAACAACATAATTTTATTAATGTTTTTGCATTTTTGAAGTCTGGAATTACGCATCACAAATCCAAGAGCCCTGGAAGCTTTACTAATGACATTATCTATATGAGCGTCAAATAAGAGCTTATTGTCATGAAGGACACCAAGGTCCTTTGCGACAGTATCACGTTGCAATGTTGAGCCTCTTAATTTACAATCAAAAAGTATCAAATTTTGTTTACGACTATAAGTGACAACAATACACTTTGACGGATTAAGATCTAAATGGTTCTCAACACAATAAGTTTCAAGTCTATTAAGGTCCTCCTGCAACGAAATAGCGTCAGCGATAGAAGATATAGGTGCAATTATCTTCATATCATCTCCAAAGCATAACAGTTTTGATGTGTTGAAGCACAGCTCAATGTCATTCACAAAAACTGCAAATAATAGAGGTCCGAGCAGAGATCCTTGTGGTATTCCGCTGAGCACTGTGAGCCAGCTGGAGATGTAGTTTTTCACTACAATAGCCTGGGATCGATTTGTTGATGTATGAAGTTAACCACCTGAGCAAGTCACCATTGACGCCAATCTTCTCCAGTTTATGCAACAGTAGGTCTGGCCGAATTCGATCGAACGCTTTGCTGTAGTCAGTGTATACGACATCGACTTGGAAGCCATTATCCATAGACGAGGTGAGAAATTCATTAAACAGAGTCAAGTTGGATACTACAGAACGTCCTCTCAAAAAACCATGCTGAGTGGGGCTAAAGGAATGCTTAAGTGCTGAGTATAGCTGCTCATACACAATCTTTTCAAGAACCTTTGAGACTATACAAAGTTTAGAGATTGGTCGGTAATTGTTTATGTCAATCCTGGATCCTTTCTTGTGGACAGGTGTGATAAAAGCACGTTTCCACAACCTTGGTACAATACCTTCAACCAATGATCTTTCAAAAAGGATAGCTAATGGAACTGCAATAGTTTTAGCGCAAGATATAAGGAACTGAGCTGGTAATAAATCAGGACCGGCTGACTTGGATGGATCCAGTGTCGAAAGAAGCTTTGCCACATTTTGAACATCGATTTCTATATTAGTTATATTTGTGACGGTGATGTTAGTACCAGAAGAATAAACATTTGATTGAATGGTGGGACAGTCCAAAAAATTTGAATTAAAATAATTAGAAAAAGCATTTTACTGATTGAATTACCTGTATTGAGAATAACATCACCATGTCTCATACTGCTAGGAATATCATTCGTATCAGATTTAGACTTAATAAAAGCCTAAAATAGTTTAGGGTTATCCTTTAAAGAACTCTCAACAGACTTAATATAGTCATAGTAGCCTCTCCATTGCCCTACACCGATCTCTAAGCAATTTAAATGTTAATTCGTCAGCGAGGTTCCCATGTGTGAACTTTTTCAGGTATTTATATTTCTCTTTAATGGCCTTTCTCAAAGCAGGAGAATACCACTTTGGATAACGGCCAGCAGTGACTTTCTTACTAGGTATGTACTTATCCCTTAACTTAAAAAATATGGTGTAAAAGTAATCAACAGCACCCTCAAGAGATCTGGACGACAGTTCAGACTGCCAGTCTACTTTTAAAATCTCCGAATTAATTACCTCATAATTACCCTTATTAAAGAGCTGGTAGTAAGCTAAGCGATTTTGTTTAAATCTTCTTCATTAGTAATGATATAAACACGGGATTTGTCATTCTTTCTCACGTGAATTTTACAGTACTTTACCCACACGTAACTATAGTCTTTTTCCTTGGCGATTGATTTGGTTTTCGTAAGTAAATGTTTATATTCCGAGTTGAGATGATCATTGACGAAGATTCTTTGAGTATTACCTACAAAGCCAATATCCGAAGCTACAAACTCTTCGCACGCGCTGCAGCAATAAACTCTTCCTTGATGTATCGATTGTTAAAGTTTATAATTATCGACTTTTCTTTACTATTATAAACGGGTACTCTGGCAATGTAATTAATTTGGTTTTTCGGAAAACTATAGCCTACTGCCACGGTCATTGATTCAGCCAGCTCGAATAAGTTTTCTCCGGACTTCAAAGTACGCCTTTAATCTCAACATTATTGAGCCGTGCCCACTGTTCCTTTAGTGCTAACTCTTTCTTAAGGGCAGTGATTTCATTGGCAGCAGAGTTAAAAGAAGATTGAACATTGACTATCCCGGACACTCTGTTTTCTAAGTCGGAGATCCTCAATTCTTGTTCATCTAATTTAGCGCTGTCAAAATCACAAGACGATTTAAGATCTTCCAGCTCTCTCATGATGACATGATGCATTTGACGTCTTCAACGAGTGTGGGAAGACTGGAAAGTTGATGCTTTATGTCACGTATCTCACTAAGTATAGTCTCCAGGACGGGATCACCTCCCGGACTAGGCGAAGATGATCTTGACAGCTTACACTGGGGACATTTCCATGCCAGTCTGCGTTCAGGTCCCAGTTTCCTATACCCTGTCTCGGTAATATTTGCACAATTGAAGTCTAAATACTTTTTATGCATCACACACAGCACACTTCATATTCATAGCAAAAGAGCCAAGCCCAACAAATGACAAAAAGGTTGATAATGTATGAACGACGAGCGGATAAGTTGTACACGTACTACCTATGCGAGTGCGCCCGGCGAACTGATATTTTTCCTACTGTGTGTTGAAAAACGTTGTACGATTTTCGTGCGGAATTGGTATTTACAAAGTCGTGACTACATTCATCTACTTGTTTATAATAACCAACTTACCGCACTAATACCATAAATAACTATTGTTCCTAGTTGCGCATCGTGTTCGCGCAGCGTCTACTGTGGCGCAGAATGTAGAACACGCGGTGCTCGGCTCTTCCACCAGTGGGAATGTGAGGCCGCACAGTCCAATATATTTCCCACTATCGGCATCGCACATCTTGCGTTAAGGTACCTACTAGATTACTTTATAATTTTGTTTTATACTTGACGAAAAGTAACTTAATTACCTAAATAACACCCTAGTAACATAGTCTTCTTTTACTTGTTAGTCTATTCATTGAAATAGTCATTAATAATACTTTGTAGGAAGACCAGTGGAAGATCTTCCTCCGAGCTGGATGATGGTTACTCGAGGGCCGTGGCCCGACTTATGTTAGTCGGGCATTGTATATATGGAGTGTTAGCCTCCGAATTTCACTTGCGCGATGTAGGCTTCCATACAATTGTGATCGCAGCGCAGGTAGCGCCATCTCTTGAAGGGAGTGATTATTTCCTCCATGTTAGTTATATGTGGGGCATTTAGATTTCGCCGCTACAACTTCAATAATATCCTTCACTGGGTAGCTGTAAGGTTATTGCGAATACATATTGGGTGCAGCAGATATAGATAATTAAAACGATTGAAAAGGGGTTGCAACGAGAAAACTATAAATGATTACGAATGGGTCTGCTCATAGCATAACGTACTCACGTTTGAAACCTTTGTCGGACGCCTAGTGATCCGCGGTTTTCTTCTAGCTAGAATTGGGCACATACAATGGCACACACATTCATAGCAAAATCACAGTTTATTATTGACGAATTTCACTTGTTTGCATCGTTCTCGTTGCGAATCTACCCACATTTAAAAAATAAAAACATAACTACAAATGAGTGATGACGAAACAGTAGCTATAGTATCATAAGTGCGATATCTTGAGAACAGCACCCTTAGCAGAAACCAATATCGAATTTGAATAGTTGAATATGATTTCGGTACTCGTCAAATGTCAATAAGTTTTGTATAGAATTTGAAATCTTCCCTACAAACTTCTTGAATTTGTCATATTTCATTGCAAACTTTCATGATTAGTGGAATATTTAATTAAAATTAGTAAAAATTTCTGTCCCTAGCCCCTATGCTACGCTGTCACAGCTTGAGAACAACAAAGTAATAAGTAAAAATGAGTTAATATTTGAGTTAGATAAAAGCGTCGGTCGGAAATAGTTTTTTTTTTATATATAGGTCCGACAGATGACTCCACCTCACCTGATGTGAGGGTGAAGTCCAGATGCAGATGGCTGATACAGCAGTTCTACCTGCCACACTAGCCATCTTCACCCTGCCGGCCTGCATAAATGCTTCTTCACGCGTCTTTTAAAGGATCCCGGGTTATAGGAGGAAGGGAGCATCTCAGAAGTCTGGCCTCATTAAAACAACGTCACGCTAGATTCGCTAATGTTTCGCTACCTCACTTCGGACTAACGTAAAGCTGTAGTAGTTCATAATACTTTCATCATCAGCCTATTAATGTCCCCACTGATGAGGCACAGGCCTTCCCAATGGATGGAATAGGGAGATTGGGCCATGACCCACCACGCGGGCCCAGTGCGGATCGGTGGGTGCTAACGACTGCAGATGCAGCCGGGACCAACGGCTTAACGTGCCTTCCGAAGCACGAAGGAGTTCGAGATAGTAAATTTTTGGTCACCCATCCAATGGTCGGTCCATTGCGAAAGTTGCTTAACTGCCATTATCGCGGCCGAACGCACTAACCACTTGCGCCATCGAGCACCTCATACAAACTCCACATAATACTTTGCCATTTTCTTTTTATCCAGGGTCTTGCTAATATCGGCAAGCGAAGGATTCCCCCGGGCGCCGGGCGATTCAGAGCCGACGACTGCGAGCGAACTCTTCGCTGCGTATACTAACGTAGACAATGTGCACATATACAGGCGGGATACGCCCCCCTTCTACAGGATGTTCAATCTTATAACTAACTTCGACAAGATGAACAATAGCGATTACATACAGTACGCTGTGGTAAGTAATGTAGTAAATAGCAAAGATATTTGTATATTATTCTACAGACGAATAAAAACGAACTGTTCGCCGCGTACACTAACATAGACAACATGCACATATACAGACAGGACACGCCCCCCTTCTACAGAATGTTCAATCTTATAATAATAATAATAATAATAATAACTTTATTTGGAACAAGTGCAATGTACATAAAATTATGAATCGTTAAAACTGCTTTAGTTTTACAAAAACTGTGTTGCAGAATTAACGCCCATTCCCGTATAATATGAAACAGTGTTCCTATCAATGTATAAAATTAATTAAAACAATCTGTATAGAGAGAAAATTAAAATGAGACAAAATATCCACAATTTAAAATCCATCGAAGGTAATTTCAAAACAAAAAATATGTCCGAGTGCATTTTTATCAATATTATAACAAACCAATACTAAATTTTACCAAAAAATGAAAATAAGGACTAAAATATAACATTTGAATTTTTATGCTCACATTAGAAGGTAGGTAAACACAGATAATACAAATCTATTAAAATTACAATATTAAACCTACCTGGACACTACAAACCAATAAATCATGATATAGAATAGTTAAATTCAATATAAGACACAATTTCGCACACATCGTACCAACATCACTGCAAAAAAGTTAATTCAAAGCATACGAACATCATTAATTTGTTTATTAAATAGTAAAAACGTCCAGCAGTACCATACGCTGGCCATCAACTGAACTAACAATTCATTTCGAGCGACTGATAAGCGCGACCAGGATCAGTGGTAGGAAAAGGGGCGGAGCAAGTCAGCAGGCGTGAATCGTTGTAGAAGAAACAAATAGATCCACATAGGGCGCGACTCCAGTTCATGAGCGACAAAAATGCTGTAACATGAGCGATAAACTCCATTATGAACTCTTTTGATAAGTAGAATTATTGTGTTTAAATCTGAATTTAAGTTGTTTTTCATTTATTTTTATAACCTGACAATAGAAAGAATTTATACCTATACTATCCACTAATTCAAATATTTTTTTTAATGTCATTATTGTAAATTAAAACTATTTTTTTGATATATTCAAAGATTATATTTATTAATGAGTAAATGAGATTTTGGAATGTTCATTTTTATAAATAGTTAAATCAAATTGAAATTATTTTATTTTAAGATGATTATCACGTTAACGAGGTAAAGTCTTTTTCACATTCAAATTAGTTTTAAAAATATATACTTTTTTTTTTTGGAATAGGTATTGTTTACTTGATAACAAACAGCACGCAAAGCTGCTTTAGCAGTATTTCGACGTTTAACAGTCTTACAATTAATTATTTATAAGTACCTCTGTTTCTGTATATGAAAGCCCCTTCAGCCAAACAGTGATCCGCAGTTTACATTCCTTAAAAGTAAGTGGATAAATATTTAATATTTTATTTACTTTATTGTATAAACGGGGAGAGAGGTAGTGAAAATGACGTTTTGCGAGCTCCAACCTAACATATTTATTTCTACAGACTATATCCGATCTACGTTTGTTATGGAAATGGTCGGGGTTGAATGGAAGTTGGGAATGTTTGCGAAGTAAGACCAGCATGATGAATAACTGACGCACAGTTAGTACACCAGTGTCCTCATATAATTGAGAAGTTGGATATAGAATAGGCTTGAAGGTCATAACTTTTAACACACCTCTTTGAGCTCTTTCAAGGCGTAATAAAAGGGACTTATTGGCTCCCCCCCATACCGTAACACAGTATGATAATACGGACTGAGCGAGGGCCAAATATACAGATTTAAGTGTAGAAGCATCAAGTAAATTACGTAGGGTTTTAAAAATATACATGAGTTTCCTCGTACGGTTAGAAGTTACCTTAATATGCTCATCCCATGTGAGTGAGTAATCCAGCCAAACACCGAGGTACTTAATTTTTAATTTACTCTGCAGTAGCATACATCCACAATTTGACATTCCGGGGCAGTTCTGATTATGAGCTTGGATAATAAAGTTAGGCGCAGGAAGAGATGAACATTTTGGTGCAAAAGCCATATAGTTTGTCTTGTCTAAGTTGAGAGTAAGAGAGTTGTAGATCAACCATGCATTAACAGCACCAAGAGCATATTCAGCATATTTTTTAGTCTCCAACCAGTCGCTACCGTGAGCCAGTAGAACTGTGTCATCTGCGTAGGTAATAATTTTGCAGTTTGGCAATGACATATTGCAGAGATCATTCATGTAAACTAAAAAGAGGGTAGGGCCGAGGACGCTACCCTGAGGCACACCGAACTTTAGCTCAACTTCATTACTAATGATTCCATCCACCAGAACGCACTGTGACCGGTTACTTAAATAGCTACTGAACATGTCCAAAGCAGTACCTCTCACACCAATATTCTCCAGCTTTCTAATCAAAATTGGAATGGAAACAGTGTCAAATGCCTTTGACAAGTCCAGGAAGATACCTATTGATTTTTGTTTGTTCGTGAGGTTTGTAACAACTGTTTCGGTTAATGATAACACTGCATCTTCAGTAGACTTACCCTTTGTGAACCCGAACTGATTAGCAGCTATAATTTGCCTATCCGTTAAGTATCCTGTCAGTCTAGTATTGATTATTTTTTCCAAAAGTTTTGATAACGTCGTCAGTACCGATATTGGACGATAATTTGAAACACAGTCTCTACTTCCTGACTTAAAAACTGGATGAACTAGAGCCTTTTTCATTGCTTGCGGGAAGATACCACACGAAAGACATAGGTTAAAAATATGTGTAAGTACTGGTAGAAGAGTGAATTTTATTTTATTATTATAACCAACTTCAAAAATTATATAATCCAGCTGCATCTCCAGGTCACTTAGATACATATCATAACTACTGTGTGTCATTTAGTTAATATTTGTAATTTTTTAGTGTAAAACCTGAACAGAAACATAAGGCAATATTTTGGTGTCAGCCGTTGATTACTAATAAAAAAAAAATATAAATGGATTATATTAAAAAATAACAAAAAACTGGCATATGTCGTCTCTGTCGGGTTCCGGGTCACAAATGACCGTTCTTCTTTAGCAATGTCGACTCTAGTGGGGTTTTAAATATACAATATCTTACAGACGTCAACGATGCTGACCCTATACCTGGAGAATGACCATTCTTCCTTAGCAATGTGGACTCCAGTGGGGTTTTAAATATACAATATCGTACAGACGGCGACAATGCTGACCCTGTACCTGGAGAATGAACGTTCTTCTTTAGCAATGTGGACTCCAGTGGGGTTTTAAATATACAATATCATACAGACGGCGACGATGCTGACCCTATACCTGGAGAATGACCGTTCTTCTTTAGCAATGTGGACTCCAGTGGGGTTTTAAATATACAATATCATACAGACGGCGACGATGCTGACCCTATACCTGGAGAATGACCGTTCCTCTTTAGCAATGTGGACTCCAGTGGGGTTTTAAATATACCATATCATACAGACGGCGACGATGCTGACCCTATAACTGGAGAATGACCGTTCCTCTTTAGCAATGTGGACTCCAGTGGGGTTTTAAATATTAAATATCATACAGACGGCGACGATGCTGACCCTATACCTGGAGAATGACCGTTCCTCTTTATTAGTAATGTGGACTCCAGTGGGGTTTTAAATATACAATATCATACAGACGGCGACGATGCTGACCCTATACCTGGAGAATGACCGTTCTTCTTTAGCAATGTGGACTCCAGTGGGGTTTTAAATATACAATATCATACAGACGGCGACGATGCTGACCCTATACCTGGAGAATGACCGTTCCTCTTTAGCAATGTGGACTCCAGTGGGGTTTTAAATATTAAATATCATACAGACGGCGACGATGCTGACCCTATACCTGGAGAATGACCGTTCCTCTTTATTAGTAATGTGGACTCCAGTGGGGTTTTAAATATACAATATCATACAGACGGCGACGATGCTGACCCTATACCTGGAGAATGACCGTTCCTCTTTAGCAATGTGGACTCCAGTGGGGTTTTAAATATACCATATCATACAGACGGCGACGATGCTGACTCTATAACTGTAGAATGACCGTTCCTCTTTAGCAATGTGGACTCCAGTGGGGTTTTAAATATGCAATATCATACAGACGGCGACAATGCTGACCCTATACCTGGAGCACTGGACGTCATTCTTCGAGTACCTGTCTACGCGCATCCCTCACGCGTTGTCCGCCACGCACGTGCGTTTGTTCGCCGCCGGCCTGTTGCTGCGAGCGATGGGACAGCTCGTCTGTAACGGACACGCGGCTTTGACGCTTGCGACGTTCGACGATGAAGATAGACCCGATGAGGGTAAGTATTGTTTGATATTTTTTTTACATAACATTGAATAATATTTTATAGTCTTATAAATTGAATTATTGTATTAATATGCGAGGGACAGATAACTTATTCTATTTAGCTGATTTCCCAACAGTTATTACACTCACACGTTTTCGCAAAATACATTATTATTAAACTGAAACAATATAATACTTTGTAAATATTGTTATATGATTTGATGCTGTGTAGCTTTTTGCGCTCGTATTTCTCCGTAGCTAAAAAATCCTTAAGATGGCAGGGAAATAAATATGGACGGTTCAAAAGAGTTCTATTTATTTTATTTATTTATTTATTTTGGTTACATGGAAGACCAACAGCTTATCTTAATATACTAGAAATGAATAGTAGCGACAAAGAGCCAATTACAGGTCCTCACATCTAGACATAACTTAAAAGAATAAAGAAACTATTTGCACTGTCTAATGTAGGAAAAGATCTCTTAAATATAGTTTTATAAATGAGGTCCTTATGATAAATAACAGAATAACGAATTACGCACATGTTAATAACTAACACTTCTATGAATTTAAAGTCTGAAATAAATGTTTGTTATTATTACATTAATTTTTATCTCCAAAAAACAAACGAGCAATGATACGTCTAATCGACGCTTCGCTAGTGTTAAAAAGATCTAAATTTACCTGCTTTGATAGTGAGTTGAAGCTGCTACTCGCTCGACAAAGAAAAGCATTCTGCCGATAATTTGTAGAAGTAGGGGGTATACTTAAAATAGGATCAATCCTAAGGGGTTTGGGGGGAACTCTAAACAAGATCTTTGATAGGAGTTCCGGGCAGTCAACAGCCCCAGAAGCGATCCTATTGAGGAAAACTAAATCCGCAATTTCGCGACGCATCTCTAAAGGGAGAAGATGATGCTTTTTGCAGAGTTCCCCGTACCGACCTGAATGATAAAGCTCCTTTGTACGAAAGCACAGATATCGTACAAATTTCCTCTGGATGCCTTCAATGCGAGATATATAGGTAGAATATCTAGGGTTCCAGACCTGAGATGCATACTCCAGATGACTTCTAACAAAGGTACAATATAAAATTTTTAGTGTCTTGGCTTGTCTAAAGTCTTTGGAGTTGCGCATAATAAACCCGAGGGCCTTAGAGCTTTTCGCGATCACCTTATTAATATGCGTATCAAAGAGAAGCTTCGAATCATGAAATACACCAAGGTCTCTCACAGCTATTTCACGTTTTAATTGACATTGTTTTAGTTTGTAATCAAACAATACCATATTTCGCCTCCGACTATATGTGACAACACTACATTTAGAAGGATTAAGGTCTAAATGATTACTAGTACAGTATCTATCAAGCCGCAGTAGATCTTCTTGTAAAAGACGTGCGTCTTCAGATGTAGAGATAGGTGCTAATATTTTCATGTCATCAGCGAAACATAGCAGCTTTGATGCCCGGAAACACTGCTCAACGTCGCTTAAATACACCGCAAATAAAAGCGGACCAAGCAAGGATCCTTGTGGGACTCCACTAGGAACCGAAAGCCATCCAGATATATAATTTTTAATAACGACTGCCTGTGAGCGATTATCTATATAAGATGATAACCACCTTAGAAGGTCGCCACCAACGCCAATTATTTTCAACTTATTCAAAAGTAAATCATGTTGAATCCGATCAAAAGCTTTACTGTAGTCTGTATAAATAACATCTACCTGATGGCCACTATCCATGGCTGCGGTAACGACTTCGTTTAGCAATATAAGATTGGAAACAACAGACCGACCTCTCAGAAAACCATGCTGCGTAGGACTAAACGAATGTTTCAAAGCCGTATAAAGTTGCTCATAAATAATTTTTTCAAAGATCTTCGATATAATACAGAGCTTTGAAATAGGCCGATAATTAGTAATGTCAGTCCTAGGCCCCTTCTTATGAACTGGCGTTACAAAGGCACGTTTCCACACAGCCGGCACAGTGTTCTCCGCCAAAGATCTCTTAAAAAGAATAGTGATTGGAATTGCTATGGTTTTCGCGCAGTTAATAAGAAAGAGAGCAGGTAAAGAATCCGGACCAGCGGACTTTGATGGGTCGAGTTTTAAAAGGAGTTTGGTAATTTCGTCTATATCGATGTAAATTTTATTAATATCAGCAGTAGTAGGGACATAATGATTCGTGCTAATATTTCTCAGAGAAGCTGAATTATTTAAAAAATTAGAGTGGAAGTACGTAGCAAAAGCATTGCAGATGGCTTGCCCGTTATCAAGCATAGTATCGTCGTAATTCAAAGTACTAGGTATTTCATTAATACTTGATTTGGATTTTATGAATGACCAAAACATTTTTGGGTTATCCCTCAAAGAGCTCTCCACTATACAAACATACCTATTGTAACATTCCTTTTCTAGTATTTTGCATCGATCCCGGAGCAGTTTGAACGACTCTTCATCCGATCGGTTTCTGTAAATTTTGAATTTTTTCCAAAACTTGTGTTTCTCTTTAAGAACCCTCTTCAGAGATGGCGAATACCATTTAGGGTATTGGTTTTTAGTGACGGATTTAGTTGGTATGTGTTTATCCCTTAATGATTTAAATATCTCGTAAAAATAATCTACTGCTATTTCCAAAGGCTTAGACATAAGTTGAGAGTGCCAATCAATTTTTGAAATTTCTGAGTTAATCGCATCATAGTTACCTTTATTGAAAAGATATTGGATGCGGGGGGCACTTTTTAATGAGACAATGTCAGCGAATTGCAGATCTATAGTCAGGGCACCATGATGTAGATCAATGGGCACGAGTGGATCATCGCTACAGTCACCGACCTTGACACTATCATTTGACAGTATAAGGTCAAGAATCCGACCGTAGGAGTTCCTAATCCCATTATACTGTCGAAAACCAAGTGTGTTAATATCGTCAATAAGGAGGCTTTCATCGACGGAGCTGAAATTGGACGGAACACAGTAAAAGCCATCTGTACCATTTGGTACCCAAGTTATGTTACTCAGATTAAAATCTCCCGCCACCAAGTACCTATCATGAGGTTGTTGCATAACTACGTCGCCCAAACAGTTTAAAAAATTAGATAACTGTTGTGAGAAGCTGAGGCCTCGACTTTCGTTACACAAATAAAGCGCACAAATATGTAATTTGAAGGGGTGGTGGGTACCACGCTGCTTGAGTGTCAATGTTAACCACAGGTCTTCGGCACTGGAGTGGAAATCAGGGCGGGGTACAACGTTTAGATCTCGACGCACTGCAATTAATACACCACCACCATAAATTTGGCCAGTCATTACGTAATTTCGATCCCGCCGAAAAACAACATATCGACTATCAAAAAGCTCGGAATCTTTAATACCTTCGAGTAGCCAAGTCTCGGTAATAATAATTATATCGTAATCACTGACACATACATTACGAAAAAATATCCATGTTTTCGTACGTAAGCCCCTAGCATTTTGATAATACGCACTAAGTTTATTTATTGTATTAGCCATCTGAGGTAATATGCAAAAACCAATATAGTAATAAAACAAAAATAGCACCAAAAATATCCATTATGCCAACATTAATCAACTCATAGAAATATATTTGTAAAAAGTAATAATTATTTAACATAAACGGTGCGTAAAAAATAATTTGTATAAATAACATTTGACAATAAACAAAAACATAGATATTTAATAATTCATTAATGGCACATTTGGGTAAAAAACAAACAAAAGCAATTAAATTTTGTTGGTAAATATTACGGATTAATAATCCATTGCAATTTAATTCAAGCGCGCGTAAGTTGTGTACGAAATAATATTGCACTCGACAACGCAACAAGCAAGGAAAGCATCCAAGGTCATTAGCAGATAAGCAGCGCCATTCAATAACAAATAATAGATTCAACAGAAGCGAGTGCGTTATGCGCAAGGACAGGTTTTGAGCAAGTAGTGGGAAACAAAAGCGAAGCGGCGACGCAACAGAGATTACAAACCTTTTATGCACGATAACCCAGAAAGCAATGTGCGCAATTGTTTGAACAAATATTGCTGTAATAAACAATAAAAATAAAGCATGACAAAAAACAATTAGTAATTGAAAGTGAATGTTAGTTATGCCATAAATTATACAATTTTGTTTAAATCATTCTCGCTCAGTACTATTAAAACACGGGAACTGTTATTTTTTCGCACGTGTATTTTGCAATACTTCACCCATACGTAGTTATAGCCCTTGGTTTTAGCAACGGACTTCGTTTTCGTGAGAAGATTCTTGTATTCAGGTGTGAGATGGTCGTTCACGTAAACGCGATCTGTGTTATCTACAAACCCGATATCGGCAGCAGTAAGTTTCTTCTTGGCTCGTGCAGCGGCTATAAATTCTTCCTTTATATACCGATTAAGAAAACTAATTAGAATATATTTGTCCTTAGAATTCTGCATGGGTACTCTTGCGATATAATTAATTTGAGTTATCGGAAAACTGTAGCCCACAGCCTCAGTCAGCGCCTTGACAATAGAGAAGAGGTTTTCACTAGAATTGACCGGTACACCCTTAATTTCAATGTTATTAAGCCGATTCCATTGATCTCTGTGCACCAACTCCTTTCTCAGAATGTTGATTTCATTTGCAGCCGAATTCAAAGAGAGCTCCATTTTCTTCACATCTGACACTTTTTGTTCTAAGTCAGATAGTCTGACCTCCTGCTTGTCCAACCGGTCACTGCTGAATTCGCAAGATGTCTTTAGGTCTGACAATTCCTGCTTAATACATTTCACATCTTCAATAAGGGTAGGGAGACTAGCCAGCTGCTGTTTCAAATCCCGCAGTTCGGTGAGTATGTTGTCTAGAACAGATGGATCGCCACTGGGAACAGGTGACAGCCTCGACTGCTTGCACTGAGGGCATTTCCACGCCGCCCGGCGGTCAGAGCCGAGCTTCCTATATCCAGCTTCAGAAATATTGGCACAACCAAAATCCAGATATTTTTTGCACACTCCACACTGAACTCCATCATTAAATGACTCGTCACAGACAGCGCACTTCATTATTCAATATGACTGTTAAAATCGATAAAAGGTTGAGAATTTATGACTTGAACAAGAACAGTGGTACGCGTTCTATCTAGGCGAGTGCTCGTAGCGTACTGATATGTTACTATGTTATAAGGTTCCAATTTGAATAAAGAAATTAAAAAAAAAAATGATTTTTCGCTTAACACTCAGCTGCTTATAAGTAAATAAGTAAGTAAAAATAACTTACCTGTGTAAGTACCTCATACAAATTATGAGAAATCTATGTGAAACTTACATATTAATAAAGAAGACGAAATTTTCAGCTACCTACTAACCATAATATTACCTAGTCAGGTCATAAATTCTGTCACATGTTTAATATAAAATAATTGAAACAAGTTTATTCATTAAGTAATCATTTATATACCAAAATGAACTTCACAAAACATAGATTCTTATGACAGTAAAGTTTATTCAAAATGATCTCCGTGATTTTGAATACAGGCCTTTAATCTGCGCGGCCAGTCGTCTATCGCTGCACGATCAATATCGGCGGCTGCCTTTATCAAGGATGTCTTGAGTGACTCCAAATTGGGATGAGGCTTTGAGCACGCCTTTTCCTCCAAGTGTTGCCATATCTTGTAATCTAACGGACTCAAATCTGGACTGGAGGAGGGCCAGTCTTCGTGCCGGATGAAGTCGATTTCACGCGCCGAAAGCCAGTCTTGTGTGCTCGTCGCTCTATGAGCTGGCGCCGAATCTTGTTGAAATACCCAGTGCCTGTTATTGAACATGGTATGAGAAACAGGTTCCACAAGGTCAGGACAGTATTTTGATACACAACTGCATTCGTTTTTACACCTTTCTCACAAAAATGTACCTCTGTTAAGCCCCAATAAGAAACTCGCAACCATACCATGAGCGAGGATGGAAAATGACCTCGTTGGACACGCGGAATACGGTTGCTCGCTTCTTCACTACTGTGTGCGTACACCTTATCATTTTGTTTGTTGTAGCTCTTTTCTACGGTAAAAATTTTTTCATCCGAAAAAAGAATTTCCCGATATTTTTTCCCCGCGTACCACTTCAACAAAGCGCGGCATCTCTTCAGTCTCAGGTCCGTTAGACGAGAATTCAAACGATGTCCTGTTTTTCTTCGATATGCCCGAAGCCCTAAATCTTCATTTAACACCCTTTTCACCGTGGTTCTGCTAAACCCCATCTTTGAATTGGCGCGTAACCGCAACGATGCAACGCAATAACTGCAACACGGTCTTCTTTAAGCGTCCACTCCATATTTAAAAATGAGTAAAATTCTAAAACGTAAACATTTTTATTTTCATGAACAATTCGAAATTCGAATTCAATGAACTGTTTTGTGGTTAGCATTCTAAGAGAAAAGTTTTTACTGGGTGACAATACTTATGACCTGACTGTGTAGAATGTACTCTTTCAGGTTTCATTTTCTTTACAAATGTGGATATGGTTATAAAGTTGGCACCCCCACTTTCGAAAAAAAAAGTAAAACGGTGAAAATTTCGAACTAATTAAGGACAATTTAGGACTGCAAGAAAAAAATTCCGACCACCCCCTAGTTCGAGATATTCGAAATTTTCAATGGGGGGGCTAACTGGGAATTAAGTTAGCACCCCCACTGTGTTTTCATGTTTAAAACACATTGTTTATATACATCAAAATTTCGAGCTAATGAGGGCTATCGCGTCTGAAACCACCGCTAGAGGCGCTTGTGTTGCGTGAGGTCTCCGAAATGTCAAATGTTATAGCTTGCGGGTTGACTACGCGGTTTTTTTCTAATTAAAATAATAGTTGTGAATATTTGGTAAATAATCAGACTTATTATGGCAAATATGAGTTACGTGTCAATGATTGTCAGTTATTTAAAAGCGGAGCTAAGAAAAAATATTGTCTTTCTTTTTTCCGAACAAAACGGAACTGTGCAACACTGTGGCATGGGCGATTATGTTTAAGATACGATTCTTTTGTATTAAAATGTAAACTTTGATATCACGAGCGTGTTTACTAACTTTAAAAGTTACACTTCAGGACCTCACTCAACAGTGGCGCCATCTGGTGAGACAAAAAACGATAGCCCTCATTAAGGACAACAAAATTAACAACATCCCAACCCAGATTTTCAACCCTCTACCCCTTTATCGGCAAAAACATGAATAGAAAGGATAATAAAAATGAAATAGCAATGCCATTTTCAATAAAAAATATAATGCAACTTACTTTTGAGTTTCAGAGTAATGTGCAACTCAAACCCACCCTTTATTTTAACCCCCATCCGTCAATCCGTGAAAATTGTCATACTTCTTCATATTTTCATAGTTTGACGGATGAGGGGTGAAATTAAAGGGGGTTTTAAGTTGCACATTACTCTAAAATTTAAAAGTAAGTTGCATTATATTTTTTATTGACAGCGACGTTACTATTTCATTTTTAAAATCCTTTCTATTCATGTTTTTGCCGATAAAGGGGTAGGGGGTTGAAAATCGGGGTTGAGATGTTGTTAATTTTGTTGTCTTTAATTAGCTCGAAATTTTGATGTATATAAACAATGTGTTTTAAACATGAAAACACAGTGGGGGTGCTAACTTAATTCCCAGTTAGCACCCTCATTGAAAATTTCGAATATCTCGAACTAGGGGGTGGTCTGAAATTATTTTCTTGCAGTCCTAAATTGTCCTTAATTAGTTTAAAATTTTGAAATATATAAACGTTGTTTTCTAAACGCTGGAATGCAATGGGGGTGCTGACTTAATTCACAGTCAGCACCCGGATCGAAAATTTCGATTATCTTAAACTGGGGGGTGGAAGGAAATTTTTTTCTTGCAGTCCTAAATAGTCCTTAATGAGCTCGAAATTTTGACATACATGAACATTCTTATCTGAACACTGAAATGCAGTGGGGGTGCTAACTTAATTCACAGTGAGCACCCTCGTCGAAAATTTCGAATATCTTAAATTGGGGGGGTGGTCTGAAAATTTATTCTTGCAGTCCCAAATAGTCCTTAATGAGTTTGAAATTTTGACGTATATAAACATTTTTTACTAAAAACTGGAATGCAGTGGGGGTGCTAACTTAATTCACAGTCAGCACCCGCATCGAAAATTCCGAACATCCCAAATTGGGGGGTGGTCTGAAATTCTTTTCTTGCATTTCTCATTAGTCCTTAATTAGCTCGAAATTTTGACGTATATAAACATTCTTTTCTAAACACTGAAATGCAGTGGGGGTGCTAACTTGATTCACAGTCTGCGCCCGTATCGAAAATTTCGAATATCTTAAACTAGGGGGTGGTCTGAAATTTTTTCTTGCATTTCTCAGTAGTCCTTAATTAGCTCGAAATTTTGACGTATATAAACATTGTTTTCTAAAAACTGGAATGCAGTGGGGGTGCAAACTTAATTCACAGTCAGCACCTCCATCGAAAATCTCGAACATCCCAAATTGGGGGGTGGTCTGAAATTTTTTTCTTGCATTTCTCATTAGTCCTTAATTAGCTCGAAATTTTGATGTATATAAACAATGCGTTTTAAACATTAAAACGCAGTGGGGGTGCTAACTTAATTCCCAGTTAGCACCCCCATTGAAAATTACGAATATCTCGAACTAGGGGGTGGTCGGAAATTTTTTTCTTACAGTCCTAAATTGTCCTTTATTAGTTCGAAATTTTCACCGTTATACTTTTTTTTTTCGAAAATGTGGGTGCTAACTTTTAGCCATAATGTGGATAACTTTCGTACCTACTTCTGTTTAAAGGATTTCGCTCACGAAGAGAAGATTTTGCATTATGCTTATTTAATAGATTTTTTAAAAGGTGTGCGGAAAGCTACCTTATATTATGCTAACATCTTATTGGTTACTAGCGGCCGCCCGCGACGCGTGGACTTAGTTATTTGCACATACATTTTGACCCTAAAAGGGGGTTTATTTCTCAAGATGCATTATTATTACACCTTTATATTATCTAAAGAGCATACATGTTAAATTTCAAGTCTCTTACTTCAAAAACATAGGACTTTCATACAAACTTCCAACCCCCGTATTACCCCCTTAGGGGTGGAGTTTATGTTATTTATTAACTTAATAATATTCGTGCCAAATTTGTAGTAAATTTTTGAGTTTATCCCTGACATACATACAGACAAAAATTCTAAAAACTATATTTTTGGTTTCGGTATCGAGGTTAGATCACACCCCAAGTATTCTTTTAAAAAATTTTAATGTTTTAACTTTCGTACCATCTTAATATATATAAATCTCGTGTCACAATGTTTGTCCTCAATGGACTCCTAAACCACTTAACCGATTATAATAAAATTCGCACACCATGTGCAGTTCGATCCAACTTGAGAGATAGGATAGTTTAAAACTCAAATTATAGTCGCAATTTTAATTTATTGCAAATTATTACTTTTGGGCGGTACGAAGTTCGCCGAGTCAGCTAGTTTTATTATATATATAAACTAGCTGACCCAGCGAACTTCGTACCGCCATATAAAAATAGGGGTTGGTGGTAGAAAGGTGAAAATTCAGGGTTGTATGTATTTTTGTATGATGTATCATAGAAAATAAAAACAAAAAAAATATATCTAAATATAAAAAAAAAATTAGGGGTGGATAACCCTTAACATTTAGGGGGATGAAAAATAGATTACATCCGATTCTCAGACCTACTGAATATGCATATAAAATTTCACGAAAATCGGTCGAGCCGTTTCGGAGGAGTTTAACCACAAACACCGCGACACGAGAATTTTATATATTAGATTACGATTTACCAGGTCAATCTGTGACTGTGTCAGAACGTGAGGTGCGACGCGCGACCGCCATCTACCCTTCAGCGGCGATGATGAATCATTCCTGTGACCCTAACATTATTAACACGTAAGTTATTTGTTATTTACCTATTTCTGTATTTATATATGTCGGAAATTATGGTGTTATTACACATCGATGAGATTTCGATAGTTTAAGTAGCTTATTAATTTATTCAACACTTGGCAACACTTTTGTCTGTGACGTAACTGAATGACGTGAGTGACGTTGTCAATGTCAGTGTCAACTTGGTATCTGTCAGTAGTGCGTTTGATCGATCTTGAGACAGCGCCCCCGCCGGACGTGCGCACTGATTAATAAGCAAACAACATATCAGACCGCGATGAAGAAATTATTGAATTTGAATTTTTGAAATCGTTTGAATCTACAACATATATTTATGATTCGTAGCTTAACAATAGTACATTTACAATAGTGATCGATTTAGATACCTCACTAACGACAGAAAAGTAGTAGACCGATAAAACACATCTGCTGTTCCTCACGGAGACTCAAATAAGATGCCCGACTGACGCATCTTACTTGCATTACCCAGGTTACATCCTGGAGCACAATTTTAAATCGCTCGCTGGCACCTGCGTGTATGCTCGTGATGACATCTGCTGCCAACGTCTCCGCAACCTTGAGGATCCCAGTTTCTCTACATTATGGGTGCTGGTGAACACAGGTATAGAGCAAATACTCTATGCCAGTGTTTATCGGTCGCACACAGAGAACATGGAGGCAACCAGGTTTTTTCAGTACCTCAGCGCCTCCGCTGAAACAGCCCAGCAAAGGTACCCGAGTGCGCAGCTAATCGTTCTACACGTGTACCTGATATTGATGGCCACACACCAAACTGCCTGGACCTTCTGCTGTCAACAGACCCGGACCGTTACCAGGTGGTAATTTCGTCTCCTCTAGGGAGTTCCGACCACTGTCTGGTGAAGTCCGTATCAGTCTACTCTCCAAGCGACCCGGAACCTATCGGAACTAGGCGTGTTTGGCGATATGGTTCAGCAGACTGGGATGAGATGCGGCATTTCTTTGCATCTTATCCTTGGCGTCGCACTTGCTTTTCTTCGGACGACCCGACTTGCTGCGCTAATGCCATTGCTGACGTGATACGTCAGGCTATGGAGTACTTTATTCCATATTCTGATGTACCACGCCGGTTTAGCGCCCGCCCTTGGTTTGACGCGGACTGTGCTAAAGCGGAAGCGCTTAAGCATTTTGCATATCGCTCCTGGGCGGATGCTCGAGCCCGCAAATCACCAAATGTTCGAAGTCTGAAGAAGGCCTTTAACAGTGCCGCCAAGTCCTGTAAAGGTGTTCTCCGCAAGGCCCGCTTCGATCACATTGGCCGTATAGGAGCCAAATTAGCCTCCTTTCCATCCGGAAGCTAGGCTTTCTTGTCCCTAGCCAAAACAGTCGAAGCCAATTTTTGCCGGTCGTCGCTGCCGCCTTTAATTAAGCCTGACGGATGGCTGGCTCACACCTCCAAAGAGAAGGCTGACTTGTTTGCCTCTATATTTGCGAACAACTCACAGCTAGATGCTGCTGGCGTAAACCCACCTAAGCTTCCTCAGTGTTCTTCTGCCATGTTGGAAGTTCGCATCCGTCAGAAAGAGGTACTCAAAACGCTAAGCACTCTAGACGTGAATAAAGCCAGTGGGCCCGATGGCATTCCAGCTATTGTCCTGCGGAATTGTGCCCCTGAGTTGTCTCCTATTCTGACTCGCCTATATCGCTTATCCCTTGAGATTCGCCAAGTTCCGAAAACCTGGAAGCTTTCCAATGTCCAACCAGTGCCCAAAAAGGGTAGTCGTGCCGACCCTGCCAACTATCGACCTATTGCAATCACCTCCATACTCTGTAAGATTATGGAGCGTGTATTGAACAACCGTCTCCTCGCTTACCTCGAAGATAACGATCTCCTCAGTGACTGCCAATTCGGTTTCCGCCGTGGGCGATCTACTGGGGATCTTCTTGTGTATGCTACCCACTTATGGCGTGAAGCCATAGAGAAACGCGGCGAAGCTCTCGCCGTTTCTCTTGATATTTCTAAGGCTTTTGACAGGGCCTGGCATGCAAGTCTCAATGGCAAGCTTCCTTCATATGGAATCGCTGTCGGACTTTGCAACTGGATTGCAGATTTTCTGAGGGGCAGATCGATACGAGTGGTCATTAATGTCACAAACGGATCTGCTTGGTATTAATGCCGGTGTCCCCCAGGGATCTGTCCTCTCCGCAACTCTATTCTTGCTGCACATCAATGATCTGCTCCTAACTCCCGGTATCTTTGGGTATGCAGACGACAGCACAGTTTCGGGGAGATATCTGCCTGATGTGAAGTCTGATGCAGATGTCCGATCATTAAGGGAGGCGATGGTGGAGGGAGTGAATGCAACCCTGGCAGCTCTGGGGTGAAGCCAACTTGGTTGGATTCAATCCCTCTAAAACACAGGCCTGTCTCTTCTCGACGAAACGGAGTCCATTCCATCTGACTCCGACTTTCCGAAATGTCTCCGTGCCGGTTAAAGACCATCTCGAGCTCTTGGGTATGGACATCTCATCCACCCTCAATTTCGGTCGCTACATCGAGTCCATTGCTAAAACCGCTGCCAGAAAACTTGGAATACTTTCTAAGGTCAGGCGATATTTTACATCTGAGCAGCTCCTTAACCTTTACCGAGCCCAAGTTCGCTCCTGCTTGGAGTACTGTTGTCACCTTTGAGACGGATCTGCTCGGTATCAGCTGGATGCACTGGACTCGGTGGAACACCGTGCGAAGAGACTCATAGGCAATGACGCTCTCGTTGAGGCTAATCTTCAGAGCCTTGACCACCGAAGACGTGTAGCTTGCCTTTCGGTGTTTTATTGGTTACATTTCGGAGAGTGTGCGGAGGTATTACATAATTTGATTCCCCCTTCCCTTTTCCACCACCGGACGACCAGGCGCGGCGAGGGCTTCCACCCTTATGTTGTCGAAGTTCCTCCCATTCGCACGAAGCGATTTGCTTCGGCCTTCATTATACGAACGGCTAGGGAGTGGAACTCCTTGCCGAAGTCTGTTTTCCCGGACCAATATAACCTGGACATCTTCAAGGCCAGAGTGAACTGGCATCTTCTAGGCAGGCGTGTACCGTCCTAGGCCTCATCATCGCTTTCCATCAGGTGAGATTGTGGTCAAACGCATTGCCTATTTAGCATAAAAAAAAGCCGGATATTTCGATAAAAGTCCGGACATTTTAGTCACAAAATGCAAACATCACCCTCTTTGTTACAGTGATATTATACGCGTGGTAGAAGATGCTCGTTATTGATATTTAAAAATAATTTATATTTTGTTTTAAATGAATGAGAACTTAATGAAGATTATTTGACTTATTTGATATAATTATTATTGATATTTCATGTAATTAAAAAAAAGCCTCACAAAGTCCGGACAAAAGGCAATAAGTCCGGACAAATCCGGACCGATGGTAACCTTACTCGTAATGGTAACCGCTACTTAGCGCTGTCATCCCTCACCTTGTGAATATGACATTTACACTTGTCTTTATCTGTGAAGGGGGTGAGCGAATAAGATAAGAGTTAGACATTTAGCTGCATGTTCAAATGCATGTGCGCCGCTTTTCGGACGCCTTTCAACGCGATTTTAAATCATAAAGCCAATTTTACTATTTATATTGGGTGATAATGGTGATGGTTATAGAATTCTCAGTCTTTTCTCTCTATTTCTATGGTCCACATTTTAAAAAAATCATTATTCCCGTGTAGTTTCTACAAAGGCCGCTTGGTAGTCGTTTGCGCTCGGGAGATTTGCGCAGGCGGCGAAGTATTGAACTGTTACGGGCCGCACCGCGCGCGCGAGCCCGCCTGCCATCGTCGGACTGCTTTGAGGGCGCAGTATATGTTCAACTGTGCGTGCGCCGCGTGCTCGGATGCCGACCGAAGGGACTTTGTGGTAAGTTTATATAACTAGTCTCTTTATTTATTTTGAACTTTAGTGACCAAAATACAAGAGATGGTTCAAAAGGCGGACTTAATGCTAATAGCATTCTCTCCCAGTGAATTAACATAGATACATATATGAATACATACTACGAAAGGAATATTCCTTATATACATACAAACATACCATAATTATATTCAAATATATATATACACATAAATATACACATGGTGATGATTAATAAAGTGACTCTTTATCTTAAATTTTAATTTAGATGAGTGCGAACATTCCTTTTAAATTCTTTACTTCAGAGACTGACTATGATAGGTGGCGAGGTCTTGAACTGATATGGGCTTGCTATCGGACGAACGGCTCTGAGGACGCAGTATATGTTCAACCAATGAGACTTCGTTTTCTCTCTCTCTCTCTCTCTTATTTAAGTAAGATTGTACGGCGCACCGGAGTCTGTGCCCTGTCCTATATGATTTTGGTACATTTCCATAATTTAGAATAAAATAGAATTGAATTCAACCAATTTTTACGCAAAATAACAGAGAATTTTAAATCTTCAATAGCACAGAATAAAGATATAACTAGCACTTATTTCTGGAAATGCATCATGTTTCATTATATCTATGTCATTCATAACTCAATTATAACGTTTCATCATAAACTCCGACCTCCTGAAGTAATTAGTCAGCGCGTACGTATCCCAATCGTGTAAAGGGCCACGACGACCCTAAAATGGGGCAAAGGGTTGTTGGAATTTCTAGTTATATCATTTATAAGATTTCGTTATTAACACGCTCTATCGATTCTCTACTACTCACTATAAGTAGACTGCTTAATTGAGTCCTCGCCTGCGGGTTACAGGGTGTGGGGGAAGACGAGAACGAGTACTGTGAGAGGTGCGGGCGGCGAGCACTTGTAATTTTGACAAGAATGTGCCTGCCGCCGTCAGCACTTCACATGGTCCCCGTTTTCTTCCCCTCCCCCACACCCTTTACCCCGCAGACGAGGTCTCAGGTAGCGGTTGACTTATAGTATATTAAATAATTGATTGAATGATGGGGTTTATGTTATTGCTACCTGGTGGCTGTCGTACCTGAAACCCCTCATTGTTCTGACAGTATTTATTCCTACCTCCCTTTCAACGCGTACGCATGCCAATCTAGTAAAGGGCCGGTGATATGCAACGCCGAAAGGGTCAAAAAGTTGTAGGTAGACATTCTATCTATAAAATTTCATCTAAGACACATTCCATCTATCATATGTATATTATTTATTTACTACCTACTCGTATCATAACATTTCTTAAATTCGTAGCATTCGTTCGCTGCTACTCACTAATAGTCGCAATATTGGTTCAATTCCTCTCATTCCTACAGTATTTGTTTATTCAGCGCGTACGCATGCCAATCATGTAAAACGCTACGCCAGCGGTAGCACTCGTTGCGTTGCAGATTTCCGTATAGAACACGCCATGGAAGCTTTGACCTTTCCAAAGCTGTTGGTCTAAAGTCAAAGTCAAAAAGTTGTTGGTGGACATTCTATTTATATCAATTATAATATTTTATAAAAAACACGCTAGATCTGTTCTGTATTATTCACGATTACGATTCGGTACAACTCTTTGTCGTTATTCAATCCCTCTAATCTTCTACAGTATGCAGGGTTGATTTCCGTAAAGAACGCTTATAAGGAAGCCCCAATACGCAATTTGTTTTATTATATCTATATGTATCGTTAAAAGATTTGTACTCAATCATGCTCTTAGATGTAAATCCATGGGCTTTCTCTATTACTCACTAGTCGTAGCATTCATTCTTTTTTTCTGACAGTATTTATACCTACAGTACTTATTCAGCGCGTACGCATGCCAATCGTGCAAAGGGCCTGTGGTGTGCAACGCTAACGCTAGCGGTAGCACTCGTTGCGCTTAATGCGGAGCAGATTTCCGTATAGAACGCGCCAAGTGTAGCAAACTTGATAATATATATTGGCAATTATTTACAGAGCCATTAATTGCGCATTTTCTTAGGATCCTTCCTTCCATTTCTCTGATTAACACTTCACAAAAAGTGTTTTTAATGCAAAAAATAAATACAAATAATTAGTTGTTATCGGCCTGACAGGAAGTCTGTGAAGTTTTAGTTTTGTTCATTTGTAAAAATTAAAGGATTAATTATCAGACAGCCTTGTCTCAAGAATAATAAAACCTACTATTTTAGCCCTTAAGTGATTTGTTACAATAAAAATTAGAGCCAAATATGTCATAGTTTTAAGGAGTTTGGATTAATATTGTTTCTTTCGATATACTTACACAAATATTTTTTGTGTACATTATTGTTCATTTATTTTTGTTAAACGGAACATTTTCTTTTGAAACAAAATATGTGATACTCTATTTATACTGAATGTGTAACTTAACATCACACACAAATGTAACATCTTATGTACACCATATTTTATGAAAACAAAGACTTCTGACAGTATTTATGTATTTATTCCTACAGTACTTATTCAGCGCGTACGCATGCCAATCGTGCAAAGGGCCCGTGGTGTGCAACGTTAACGCTAGCGGTAGCACTCGTTGCGCTCAATGCGGGGCAGATTTCCGTATAGAACGCGCCATGGAAACCCTGGAATGCGCCAAAGAGTTGTTAGTGGAAGCGCGTAGAGCCTCCACGCCTTTTGAACGATGCGAGAAGGCGCATGCCGCACTGAGGCTCCAGCAACATGTTTGGCATCGACATCATACTTCGCTGAGAGAGTCCGCGGATAAACTGGCGAGGCTTTATGCTGATCATGGTGAGTTTATGTTTGTAAGCGAACTCTGGAGACAATGTCCTGCCCGATGAAAATGTTTAAAAAAAACAGACTGTAGACCCACTTACTGTCATTAATTTTAACTGGTAATGTCATTGTCAAGTTATGGCTTGACCAAGGGAAATGAGAATTCATATTATGAAGATAGATGGCATTCATATCAGTTTCAATAATAAATCTATTTAAAGGTCCCCTTACAGGCTTTTGCTAAATCCCAATTTCACTAAAACTAATTTTTAAAATGTTTAAAAAAAAGTAAGCTCTAATTTGCCTATCTCTTACTGAACATTGGTTATTGAAACCGGAATTTGGTATAACAGGTTTCTGAACGGTGGAAAGTCATTTTTTTTTATAGCGAGGTAGGCAAATGACTCTACCCCACCTGATGTTAAGTGGTGATAAAGTCCAAACGCAAAGATAGCTAATACAGCATATATATATACAGTACAAAATACAGATTCGATTTACTTTTCAACAGGTGATTTCAGTAAGAGCGTAGAACTAATTAAACAGAATATCCAGAGTCTCGAATACCAGTTCGGGTCGTTCAGCGCAGAAGTGAGTTTGTGTTAAAATGTTATTTTTGATCCTGTCTTAATGCTAATAACCACACATACTGACATATAACCACACACATGCACATAAATACATACGCACACACTATACTAACTTGCAGCAATGGCAACACACGAAGACTTGTCGTAAGAAACTTAAGAGCCCTTTCACATTTATTGCAAAAGATCGTGAGCGCCTCGTAAACCCTCTTAGAAAAGATTTTGACTAAATCCAATAGAAGTAAACAGTAGATTTATTCTTCCTTTTGTAAGTTAATGTTAATGAACTGATCGTTCTACCGCAGCTAGATCACGGAAAAAACGATAATATGCACAACTTCAAACGCATGAATCTCTAAATAATGTTCAATAAATTAGATCAAATTAAATACTACGACATCAGAAATATGTTGTTGTAACATAAAGTATTAGAATTTTGATTTTCTATCTCATTAATTATCAAAAAAGACATCTAACCTCCGTGAGTTTTCCCAAAAAATAATGCAGGTTTACCTCGTATTTTGATATTTTAAATAGAATTACTATCAAAAATTTTCATAATACTAATCTACCATCATTGAACTATTGAAATATGTATATATTTTACATCTGAGCAGCTCCTTAACCTTTACCGAGCCCAAGTTCGCACCTGCTTGGAGTACTGTTGTCACATTTGGGACGGATCTGCTCGGTATCAGCTGGATGCACTGGACTCGGTGGAACACCGTGCGAAGAGACTCATAGGCAATGACGCTCTCGTTGAGGCTAATCTCCAGAGCCTTGACCACCGAAGACGTGTAGCTTGCCTTTTGGTGTTTTATCGGTTACATTTCGGAAAGTGTGCGAAGGTATTACATAATTTGATCCCCCCTTCCCCTTTCCACCACCGGACGACCAGGCGCGGCGAGGGCTTCCACCCTTATGTTGTCGAAGTTCCTCCCATTCGCACGAAGCGATTTGCTTCGGCCTTCATTATACGAACAGCTAGGGAGTGGAACTCCTTGCCGAGGTTTGTTTTCCCGGACCAATATAACCTGGACATCTTCAAGGCCAGAGTGAACAGGCATCTTCTAGGCAGGCGTGTACCATCCTAGGCCTCATCATCGCTTTCCATCAGGTGAGATTGTGGTCAAACGCATTGTCTATTTTGCATAAAAAATATATATAATTAGTTGATTAAAAATTATTTTATAAGACTCGAAACATCACCCGTAAAATGCAATATTACTAGTGCAAATCTACCTACGCGCCGATCAGTATGGCACCGGCGCAATTTTGTAAAAGGGCTCTTAAGAACGACCATAATACAAGACTTCCCTATGGATTTTGGACGGTCGATGTGGATTGGTGAATACTAACGACTGCAGATGCAGTCAAAACCAACGGTTTTAAGGTGCCTTTCGAAGAACGAAGGAGTTCAAGATTATACACATTAGGTCACCCATCATAATTATGACCGACCATTGAGAAAGTTGCATCTGATTTTCTCTTACCATTCGCAGGTAGCTCATGAGTTACGGAAACTGTCGGACGTGATGCTTGAGAGGATAATGTCTTCGCCGCACACCGCTGATTACAGGTACATATTTCTTTTAAATATCTTCTTTTATGTAAGACTAGCAAACCAGGCGAACTCCGTTTCGCCATCAGATTGCTTCGTTTTATATAACATTTCGTTTGGTGATTAAAAGAAGAATTTTTTTTTGAAAATTTTCCTGAATTTTCTTTGCTATAAACCTCACGGAGCCCGAGACCTTTCCAACGAATGCAAAACCGTGGAAATCGGTTCGTGCGTTCTGGAGTTATAGCGTCAGGAAGGAAAACCCGACTTATTTTTATATAGTAGATAGCACTAAATTCGGTCAATTCATACTAACGCAGAGTCGAAGCGAATTTCAGACACCTAAGCAAATGCACCATTGTCTCCGCAACGTAATGAACATATTCCTTCTGGAGAAAAAAAGAAGACGCGCTTATTTCTCTGATTATCAGCTTAAAAGGAATATGTGCATTACGTTGCGGAGATAGGGGTGTACTTGCTATGTTACTGTTTCTAAAATTCGCTTCGATGCGCTTCGACTGCGCTACTATGAATTGACCATAATATTTGAGTTATACCTTAATTAAAACCCCTTGTTCGCACTTTAATGAGTGTTAATCTTAGATTAAAACGAATAGGGAAGATACGGTACACTCATACGAGCAGCAAACAAAATATGCCATATATATAACCGACTCAACTACATAAGCAACTCTGACACACGCACACGTTTGCAAATAAACATTCAATCGAGCAAGCGAGACAGAACTACGCTTCAACGCAGCGCGAGCGAAATGGCGAGTCCGCTTCCGAGTCCACACGGCTGAGCGGTATTGGTTGCCCTTTTCTTAATAAATAGTAATTTTTGAGAAAAAATGTTTGTACAGTATTACGAATGAAAATTGTTACCGAGGTATTTGTTGTTTGATTTTGAACTATGTGTGTTGTTTATAAAAGCATTGTTTTATCTTCATAACACAGAATATACGCAATATTGTTATATTGAGCGCACATGCAGAGTGTCTGAATGTCCAATTGTGACTAAAACGAATTGTGGTCATGCACCACAATTAAAGCGGATCACTTTTGAGCCGCGAGTGCCGTATCTTCCCCTTTTGTTTTAATCTAAGGTGTTAAGTTATTTCCAATTGACACTTATTATATCAGTATGAGTGATTTATGCTTAATGTTAAGCTTTTGCTTTCAGAAGGCCGTCCAGCCCTGTTTGCACTTTATATAGTGATTGATATGTGCGTGAAGTTTAGCTTAGTATCAAGTTCAGTTTCTGACCATTTTCGTTTATATCCTCCATACTAAATACTCGCACGAACCATTGCTTGTCCAATCGCGAATGTACAAGTCACATAACACTACCTTTATAAACGGTAATCTATTTTATTTATCACTTCACACTCGCCAGATAACACTGAGCTAAAGTGCATACATTACCCTTAGCACGAACCGATATCGAATTCGAATAGTTTGCGAGTGCGAAATGTCATTGTCAAATTTATATTGATTTTTAGTTCTTGTTACGTCCGTTGTGGCGCTGCTGTACAAGTTTCCATACAAAATTTGACATTGACATTTCGGACTCGCGAAATATTCGCATTCGATATTGGTTCGTGCTAAGGGTACAGGGCTTTTTTATCGGTATTTTGTATCGTTCTCTGATCGTATCAACTTATTAATTTTATTTTTACGCAAACCAATTATTTAATAAATAAGCTTTTTGCATGAGTATAAGGCGCCGCGTAACGTTGACGTGCTGTCAACGTATAATAATCGCTTATTGTATTAGCTTTTTATTTTGACAGCAAGTTGTCCTTATCATACTCGTAGGAAGTAAAAAGGAGAGACTGTTGGCAAGTTACAAATTGCAAATACGCATAGCCATGTGCAGTGCCGGCTGGCATAAAGAATCCGAAAACTGATGAAAGAACTGTGATTTGAATTGTGTTTTATTAATAACCTACACCATCTTTCATAGGGACTGGTGTCTCGAAACGCACAAGATAATCAAGAAAGCCGTACAACTCACGGAACTGAATTACGGCTCGTGGGAGCCTCTAGTGAGACGCCTCAAGTACAATGAGGAATACGTGGCTTCGTTGCTCGCCGACAATAGTTCTTCGGACGTTGTAGATAGCGTCCATCATAATCTCCACTACAACCTCAAGATATAGAAACTGGCAAATTTAAAAATCTCTTAAAATAAAGAGTGAGAAAACTTTGTTTGTCGACAATAGTTCTTCGGGCGGCGTAGATAGGGTCCACCATAACCTCAATTACAATCTTAAGATTTAATCACTTTGTGAAAAGTAAAACCTGGACTAAAACTGTTGCTGTCACTTTTGAAAAAAAAAGCCTAATAACAATACGTAGACTAATGATAAACCTGGACTAAATTTGATGCTATCACTTTTGTTTATCAAAAATAAGACAGAGACAACATTAGATTTAAACCGAGACTAACTTTAGTCCGAGTTTTGGAATATGCCAATGGTGGTTATCTTCACTCCACTTTTGTATAAGCTTCGTTATTCGCCGACAATAGTTCTTCGGACGTTGATCATCCACTATAACTTCCACTACAATCGTAAGGTTTAGTCGCTTTGGAAAAAGTTAAAACTTGGCTAAAACTATTGCTGTCACTTTTGTTACAGCATCAGTTTTAGTCAGACACGGGTATGAAATTTGAAAACATTCTAGACAGTCAAAAATCAACCAATATATTGATAATCAATGGGCCTCCTTTTCGCTTGGTCTATCGCACACCAAAGTACCCACTTTTACTTGACATATGTTAAAGGAACGTGCAGACTATTGTCTATGAAATTTATAAACTCCGACCTCAAAATTAATGCAATAAATGTGTGCCTATGTTTTGACGCGAGTACAGTCATACGAACTCACGCCAATGAAGAAACTTATTGAATACCTGTTATAATAATATACGTGAGACAATCTGTCCCTCAAGCATATCATGTCGGGAATAATGCTCAAAAGTTACTTAATTGGCGCAAGTTATATTTGCGACATTGCGTGAATATTGTTTGAATTTAAATCGATGGTAGTTTATTAAGAACCTGAAGGCATTTCAAGATCACATTTTTATTTCGATTTTATTCGGCCTATTTCAAAACAAACAAATGGTCTAGTTAGAGTATTTACATTTAGTAAGGGAAGTAGTCATTAAATTTAAATAGAGTAACTCTGCTCTTGTAAAGTAATAGTGAGATTTTTGACACAAAGGAGTGATAATTAAAATATGACAAATTAATCATAATTTGCTGACAAAATCGAATAAATCTTTAAATGTTCTTTCGATTTATATTTTATTAAACCTTTTATTTGAAATAGCAAATAGCCAATAGATAATATTATAATTGTACAATGAATTATGTAAAAAATATTTTAATTAATGATTACATAACTCTTTACTGTGTAATTTTAAAGTGATGATTTTATAAATAAATGATTTATAATTTAAATATAAAAAATATAATTACATTTGGATTCCGCAGTTATATAAATATCTGTAACATGTTTTAAACAAATTGAATTATAAACGATTTACCTTAACAGCTGAACTTTATTCAGTAATATATTTTTTAATCCATTAATATTCGTGATTTTTGATATTACATATCGACTGAAACAATAATAATTTTCCAATTCATAGACCTATAATAAAATAGGTTAATATCTGTTTTTAATCTGTGCAAATTCATTTTTTAAGATTTTTCTGTCTATTGATAATATAATAAGTACTGATTTTTCAATGCTTAGATATAGCAGACGGAACAATACTATTATTATACCGATACATTAGAAAAGCTTTTTATTCCGCACGATTTTATCTAGCAATTGAAAAATCTGCTCAAAGTTCGTAGTTTTAATCAAGATTGAAGAAACTAATTGAATAGTGAGAAATTTAGCAGATAGAGAAATATTTTCATTGTTGATAATGTAATAATAGTTTTTTCCCAATACAATGACAGACAACGCAACTATTATAAGTACTTAGAGATATTGATGTTATGGTCAATATAGATACAGTTTAGATCATTCAGGATGTGCGTGCCCTCCGGGGGGTCTCAGTGTATAACGTAGGTTTCGTATAGATAAAGATTTATCAAGACTTTTAAAAAAAATGGAGCCAGAAGGATAAATTACTAGCTGTTGTAAGTCGAACGCTACGACTAGCGGCTCACCGAATGTGGGCTCTCAAACGAAACGCCTCACTTTTCATTTAACTGTATCTGACCAATTTAAATACATTTGCTGTATGGTAAAATCTAGAAAGTAATCTGTAGGACTAGGTGCTAAAAAAAATGAGCTCTGTTGAGTCACTGCAAATAATGAAAATCCAATCAGGTGGTGAGCCCTCAGTTCTTATATTACTTGTTCAAAATTAGTGCTACATATTTGTAATTAAAGCTAAGTTTCTTTGGCAAGTTTTAAAATTTAGCAGAAGTAGTCAAAATGCTTCCCTGTGAGTACAAGGTTGATATATTTTGCCAGTACAAATATAGGCTCTAGTAAGTGGACCTTCGGTTGAAACGCTCAAAATCGAATTCATGATAAATATCTCGGCCCAACTCATTATAAAATGAAATGCATTTTTACTACTTCTGCTTAATTTTAGAGCTTGCCAAAAAAACCTTAGCTTTAACTACAAATTTGTAGCAGTAGAGTAAATGTACACGTAAGAACTGAGGGCCCACTAACTGATTGGATTTTCTTTATTTGTAGTCACTGAACAGAGCTCAAATGTATGTACATAGTCTTACAAATTATCTTCTAAATATTACCATTCATCTAAATTTATTTAAATTGGTCAGATATAGTAATATGAAAATTAAGGCGTTTCGTCTGAGAGCCCACGTTCGGTGAGTCGTAACGTTCGACATACAACAGCTACAAATTTATCCTTAGATAGTCTTATGGCTACAATTTTTTCAAAGGTCCTGCTAAATATTTATACGAAACCTACGTTTTCCACTGTTGCTCCTCGGAGGTTACGCGCCTCACTCAGGGGATGAAATATCTGATGTTGTCAAATCGGTTTGGAAATGAGTTCATATGTAAATAAACTTATTTCCAAACCGATTTTACCAAATAATACTAATTTTCACCGGCTTTTAAATAAGTATACATTTTTTTTGATTAATTTGAAATAGAGTATGCAAATTTAGTAGTTGTTCACTCAAAGATTTTTAACCTGTGGTTGCTGTGTCAATTTTGTACATAATTAAAAAGATATAACAATGTATCAATAAAACTAGTAGTCTTTCAAAGCGAATACTTTTATCTCTAAAAACATCGCATGGACATAGAATTTCTCTACGCTTATCATTGTTTGTGAACTTCTTATGTCAAAGAATTACTGTGAGTGTTTCAAACACATATAAGTGTACTGTTTATTTATTTATTTAAATGTTACTATGATGTAATGTAACTTTATCAATGCTTTGATAAAGCTTTCTGCACTCCTTCTTCACTAAAACTTATAATGCAAAAGCTACTAAAATTAAAACTGTATAAGCTATTAATATATAGGATACTAGCTGACCCAGCGAACTTCGTACCGCCATAAAAAAATAGGGGTTGGTGGTAGAAGGGTGAAAATATAGGGTTGTATGTATTTACTAATGCTGTATCATAAAAAAATTAAAAAAATCAAAATTATCTAAAATTGAAAAAAAAATTAGGGGTGGATTACCCTTAACATTTAGGGGGATGAAAAATAGATGTTGTCCGATTCTCAGACCTACCCAATATGCACACAAAATTTCATGAGAATCGGGAAAGCCGTTTTGGAGGAGTTTAACCACAAACACCGCGACACGAGAATTTTATATATTAGATAAAAATAATTAGATTAGATAGAGAATAAAATTTGTGATTAATCAATGTATTTCGGTAGGTATATCCTACCGGAGCTTCTAAACAATGTGAAGAATATACATAGTGGAACTAAAACTATATTAAATTGGGTTGTTGTGCATTAGTCACAAAGTTAATTTGTTACAAATAAAAGGATGTGTAAACTCGCCACAGTTATATTTTTATGAAGTAAATCGAACCAATTTTTTCTTACAATCTTTGAATGGAGTAAACAAAAACGTGACGAATTAACTTTCAATGTATGGAATAATCAAAAATGTAACGAATTTACTTTGTGGCCAGTGTGTTGTACCCAAAATTAATAAGTATAAAATTCTCTTTGAGCTAACATACTAATATGTCTATGTTGTGAATTAGGTACTTTTGCTTACACACTCTTGCATTACGACCGAAAATTGTAAATATGTTTTTGAAGTAAACTTCTTTACGCACGCTTGACTTGGGGGGTAAGCTGGCGAATGCGTTACGCGTTACGAAATGTGTGTTCGGGCGGGGCGAACGAGAGTGGAGTGGGGAATATAAGCAAGAGAAAGCAGTGCGCGCGCACATTTTCTTTCTCTTTTTCTCTTATAGCTAGTAAATGAAATATGTTTATGTACATACATGTATATATTGTACACACATACAGATGGGAGCTAAAGAAGTTTCACTTCAGTCGTGTGGTCATAAGGACACTCGTTTTTTTATTATTCTAATATAATGAAATAAGACAATCGCAATGAGGAGCTCGATGGCGCAGGTGGTTAGCGCGTTCGGCTGCGGTCGTTGTAGTTAAGCAACTTTCGCAGTGGTCGGTCATTGGATGGGTGACCGAAAATTTCTATCTCGAGTTCCTCCGTGCTTCGGAAGGCACGTTAAGCCGTTGGTCCCGGCTGCATCTGCAGTCGTCAGCACCCACCAATCCGCACTGGGCCCGCGTGGTGGGTCATGGCCCGATCTCCCTATTCCATCCATAGGGAAGGCCTGTGCCCCAGCAGTGGGAACATAAAGAGGCTGATGATGATGATGATGAAGACAATCGCATTTTACTACTCTGACGATAAATGTCTAACCGCGGCACCCAGAGATGTAAAGTAACTTTAACTTTGATTAAAGTTTATGTTGTCAACTTTCGTTGCGACAACATAACAAAAAGACAATGTGACATAATCAAGTTTTAAATTAAATTGGCGCTTCTGAGTACGGTTGTAAGAAGGGATGGCATTTTTGCTTGTTTGCTTGGAGACAATTAAAGAACCTTACTGAGTAACATCCATGTACTCGTAATGGTAAATGATGTAGTATAACGCTATTAGACTCGTCGAGTAAAATAAGCAATAAATTTAGAGTGAGAAAAAGTGTTTTACACATCTTTTGATAAGCATAACAAACTTTTAAATTCTTACTATAGGTAGTTAGTTACTCTACATTATTTTGTGTAGATAACTTACTTTAACAATTTTCTCAATTGAACTTTTACAGTACAGTACAGTGGTGGTCACATGTTCATTATAAAATATATTACTTTAATGCAGTTGAGAATTCCTGCATTTTGTCAATCTTTATTGGCTAACATTTCTGGTCTTTGCGTGGGAGTGTTTAAGGCCGAGTTTCGTATATACCTATACTATTTTTGTAATGATCTTGAAATGCTTAATATCATTCAAGTCAAGCATAGACCATAATCTTTTATAATATTTGCAATTTTTTAAACGAGAGATTTATAGCGTCTGAAATTTAAGAACTGTAATGATAAATGATAATTAAAATGTATCTTCACTTACACTTATTGATTACGTAGTAACTATTAAGTAATCTTTGCTATTGAGTTGTACGTAGCTAATAAAAGTTGGCTATGATAATATGACCACCACTGTATATCTAGATATCTCTGGTTGACACAGAGTTAAAATTTATTAGATAGATCATAGAATAGTGAGTTGAATATAAAACTAATGCATAGTTCCTCTTTTTAACGGTTGCGTGAGCATT